CACCCAGTATCTCAGTAAAGTGTTGTGCCACCAGAACAGCTTCAGTGCACCTTGGCATTGACTCTCCAGGTCCCTGAACTCTACTGGAGGGATGGACACCATTCTTCCAAAAGATATTCCCTCATGTTGTGTTTTGATGATGCTGGTGGAGTCACTGTCTAGCACATCGCTCCAGAATCTCCCGTAGGTGTTCAATCAGACTGAGATCTGGCGACTGTGAAGGCCACAGCCTACAGTATGATTCATATCATTTTCATACTCATTAAACCATTTAGTGACCCCTCATGCCCTGCAGGCACTGTCATCCTGAAAGACACCACTCATTTATTCAGGTTTTTCCCTTTCATTTGTCACTGCTTTGTACATAAGGAGCGCATAAACAGAGGACCGTTCTCGTGTTTTGTTGTATTTGTTTGTGCCCTTTCCGTAATATAGCAGGTACCAAGCATGGGGGGGGGGGGTCAGTGTTGACCCTCCTTAATTCCACTGAGGTAGTACAATTGGCACAACCATTCCTCCTGGGTTTCTGTGTATAAGGGCAGAGGCAACTCGAGAAGTGTGAAGTTTTAATGAAGTGTTGACTCTGTGATGCACCACTGGGAGATTTAAAGCAACAATATGTAACATTCTTACATTAAAACAACAGTTTCTAAATCATTTTGATGGTACACTGACTGACACTGCATGCTCAGCTTGTCTGTTATTGCACTATATAAATTTGAACCCATCTCCCAGAGACTAATCGTGAGAAATGCAGAACAGCACCACATCACACACAACTACAATAGGTCAGACCCTTTAACTGTGAAAGTCCAAACCTTACACACTATTAGCAATGCATGTATTATACTTTGTAATTGAGCAAAATTATCCAGGGTTGCTAAAAGTTAATACTGTCTTGATGTTTATCTGCTAAAAGGAAAACAACAACAACAACACAACACAAGACCCTAATATTATTAAAAATGTTGCCCCAAAGGCCATAATGGACGTAACATTTTACAGCATCTTAAGTAGGCAAGAGTCAAGGGCCCATCATGCATGAGATCTCTGCATATTCTAAACGTTTTAGGGTCTTGTGTTTTATAATGAAATACTGTATGTCAGTTAATCATTTAATCGTGTCAGTTAATCATACTGTATGTGCTTTTAATCATTTTGAAGGAGGTCAGTGGCACAGATGAATAAGCTATACTACTATATCAGTCTAACGCTGGGATTATTTTAAAATAGTCCTGATGTCGGAAGCAGTCCTTCATTAGTTTAATTATGAGAATGTTACATTAGGCTTGTTGTGTATAATTGTCTAACAGTTTACAGCTCATACATTCAAAAATCCTAATGTATAATAATGTTCTTCATAAAAAAAAAAACCATACACTTTTACTACGTTTCTGTAAAAATGTGCGACTGCACAAACAGTCCACACTGAACAAAACTTGGAACAAAACTTTGTACCACAAAAGTGGTAGATTTCAATGAAACAACCTTTCAGATATGACTGAGGAGCTGGAACAGAAACGCTGAAATATTTCAACCAAGTATAGTCAGCACAGTGAATGTGTGAAAGGCCTGAGAAAACACAAAAACAAATATTATCAATAGATCCTAGACTTAGCTGCACTACTTGTTTCCCCTTTCTTTGACTTCACTTTCAAATTGCAGCACACTACCAGCACAAATGGCTTCATATGATGTGAAGCCCATGACCTGCTAGTATGTACAGTATCCTTAATGCTGTAGGTTGTCAAATATGTCCATAAAATTTTCATTTACTTTAACATAATGTCAGTGTAAAAAAAAAAAAAACTCTTGCCCTTGAGCAAGGGAATGAACCTGACCAGGTATGCTGATGATACATATAGAGGCTGACCTTTGACCTCCATGTGGAAGGAGCTGAGGATTTTCCCACACACAACAGCTATCACATTGCATTGTGATAGCTGTTCTATGGTTCACTTGGATTTATTATTTATGTCTTAATCCATATTTTAAAAAATGGTTTCAAAGTCTCTCCCCGCCTCCTGCCACTCCACTTTCTGATGTGTCTCATCACAGTTTGTCCCCTTTTGCTGCAGTGGGTGCTACATTAAGGCACAGCAGGGAGACAGACACCAGGAAATAGTAGTTCCTGTCCATATGGTGTCCGGTTACACACACACACATACACACACACACACACACACAAGCAGTGAGAAAAAGAAAATATCTAACAGTCTATCTCCAACCAATGCAGCAGTCGCCCACTTATGTGTCTGCTTGGCTCTGCTCTGATCACATAATTTCTCTGTCCTCAGCTCTCACACAAACACACACACACACCCACATTCATAGAAGGAGAGCATATACTGAAGCACACTCAGAGGGTTCACACATGCACACTTAAATCCTGGAGATACTGTATACAGCACATGCCCCCCAACACACACACACACAGTTCAATACAGTAATAAGCAGACCATTCGCACATGGAGGTATGCCTGTGAGCGTATGCACAGACATACACAGCAAACAA